TACACTATATTATATATATAGGATACATATATGGGCTTTCCTCGACGGACATGAAGGCAAGGCTTTCTGATCTAAAGGATTTGTGAGCAACATTCCGCAAACGATTCCTTGGAACTTCCAACTGCCTGTGTTTCGAACAAATCTCGGTGATCAGTATAAAAGCCATGTGAGTTGGATTTAATTCTGATGCCTAAATCATCCAGCTTCAACGTAGACAGTCTGCTTGATGCTCACATCTCGAGTTAGTTTTGGTCGCTTAGCAGAGTTACATCACAAACAAACAGAGATACTGTCTTGGGTAACAACTTAATACACGTTATCTGAAAACTGAAATAACTAAGGTACTTGTACACGAGAGACTCAACTGAATCTTTCGTTTATGATATTCTACAACTGAATGCGCTGCACACAGACCGCCTCATGTTTCAGTTGGCACGATATTCGAGATATCGCAGTATATTTTCATAATCAAAAGGGCGAAACCGGTCGTGAGCTGTCGAAAAGTTTTCAGCAACCTTGTGAGTAGTTTTCCTTATGAAAATAAGGTACTTGTAGTTTGGATGCGAACGGAACAACTTTGCATTGGCAATCTTGTCAATTTCAAAACAATTTAATGCACGTGACATTAGTTCTCATTGTATGGAGCGAAAAAGCAAGGCTTTTATTGTGACACTAAAAGCCTAAATCTAATTATTATGGCATCCAGCGGGACTGAGTCAGTGCACACGGATAAAATTTCCACAGTACAACGATCTAAAATGCGAAGCGTTTCTAAATTACCAACCCCCCCCCCCGGGAAGTACGGAGGACTGTGCCAGTTTTTAATTGAATATCAAGTTGAGCAGCCTATTGGTGAAAAAATAAACTCTGTTCATCATTTAATTCCATGAATATAGCGCGAAGAGCGCTGCAATCTAACAAAATATTACACTTTTTGAACAAAAGTACAGAGAAGTTAGTTGGCGACGCCTGTGGCCTCGAATTCACGCCTAAAGTGAGTAAACGTTTTGAAGAATTTCTGTGCTTTTCGATTTTATACTATAAGAACAGCGAACAAAGTAAAAACCTTACAGATAGCTGCCAAACTCAGTAGTTCACCAGTCTTGTCGTACGTGACAAACGTCCCGAGAAATACTCAGTCACGAGACCAAATGTCATCGATTTTTGCCACACTCGTTGATGAAACCGTTTAAGAGACTATCGTTTCACCGAATACTCGGATTAAATCAATATTTTTGGCTGTTTTGTTAGGCGCCCTTGCTCATGTTGCCTAATTTGGAAGCAATCATTGATTTGGATGACAAACTACTGTGGAGAGGACTGTCGAAACAGAAAAAATAAATAATCATCCATCAAACTACCGTACCTATTTTCAGACGCCATGAGAATCGCCACAGTCCGAGCATGGTTTATGGGCGTGGTCTGCTTGCTTCACACCTACAAATGTTTGAATCTCAGAGAAGCAGGAAGTTGTTCTATTCGGTATCGCGGTACGCACCCGAGTTGATTGGTCGCATTTTTAAAGATTGACAGAATCCACCTGATTCTGTACATAAAATGGCTTAAAGTACCCACAGAATGGCTTTTTGAAGTCAAGAGTCGTGGTACGCGAACAACGTGAACAGTGAGTCGTGGTACGTGGGGCCGATGTGATCACTTGGGAAGCAGTCCTTATGGGGTCAAATCAATGCATTTTCCTAGTTCCATAGAGACAATAGTTTTTCTCGGAAATCCAGTTGGATCAACCCCGAAGAACGTTTTTTTCAATAGGTTAGAGATAAGTCATTGTGGCACTCCTCACAACTTAATCACCCAACTAGAATTCTAAAATTCGCCCCCAATTTCCTGTTTGTTTGGTGAAACAAGAGACTGAGTATTCAAGAACATCGAGCAACATTTGTGAGGAACAACTGTGAAATACAAAGTGGACTGCTGGGAATTTTGTGTTGACTGCTCTGTGCGACTGATCTCAAAATCCGGAGTCTGTGGATGCAATGGCTTCTTCTGAAGACCTGATCCGGAAACTGATTACGCAGACCCGTGTGAACGTCTCATGACGGTAATTATCAGAAAGCTGGCAATTATATTGGTGCAACGGTGGATACTACTGATGAGACATGTGAGTAGTATGTTTTCTGGTAAATCCGCTTTGTGTCTCTTCAAAAGTGAGATCTATTACGGAATTTGTGAAGTCGATTTGCAGCATTTGCTTGCATTTGAGTAGCAGTCGATGAATATCCGGGAAAGTTCAGGAGGACGCGTTCAGTTTTGTAAACAAGATGCAAATGAGAACTTTGCTTCCATGTCCAACAGGCTGTAACTGTTCAGTTGGTGTTTTCTAATAAACAACTCCGCAGCGAGGGCCTTTGTGTCTTCAATTGTGCTTTCTTCTGTGACGCTCTTCTGCTATTTTCCTCAACTAATAGCATTTTTATCGTTGGTTAATCTAAAGGTTAAATCAGTGAGAACCGATACATTGTGACAAAACCTTATGAGTAATTTCAGGACGGTCACATTCCTAGGATCAACCAACCACTGAATGCCCGAAATCTACCGAGTCTCTCAGCTCCGTTAGATGTTGACCAGACAGAAAACGCCCCCTCAACATACAGTGCGTCACAGCCTCGTATCAAACCCAGACAGCGAGAGTCAGCGTTGATCAAGGTCAGACANCAGAAAAATTATGTTGTTTCAATTAACAGAAATCATGATGCATTCATTCCCAGGCACTTGCTGTGCAGCACAATCAGTCTTTATAAAGCCACCCTGTATAAGGATAATCGGTTCACACGGACTGCTTTCCGATCAACTAGGCTGTTTCATTGAATGAACGGGAAATCCGAACACCGCCAAGCTGGCAAACGGATATTCTTTTCTAACGGAATACGATGCGCCCAAATGCATGTTCTCCTCGTTTTCCGCTAACTCTGGCTAATTCATCACTAGCATTTTGTCCACTGCTGGATGCATAACCCGAATGTCGCATGGCGATAGTGTGGACGTTGTCAACTGAAATTTCGTCTTGTCACTGAAACTATTTTGAAAAGCCTAGAAGTACTCTACAGCTGTTTGGTCCCTATAGGGAATCATCAGTGGTCCGCACTTCATAAAAGTACAGGAAATGTCGAAACCAGCTGGTAATTTGATAATAGCCGCTCGGTCTCACCAAGACAGTGAATCAGCCAAATTCACCGTGTGTGCTCAGTCTCGGCAGAGCACTGTGACGGAAAATTAATCAATCCAACATCTTAAGCGTCCTTCATTAGCAGAACTGTTTTACTCAACTCTGCGCTGGTGATATTACGAAATAAGTTTAGCGCCGCACAGCATGAACTTGCAAGGCATATTTCTTGGACCCACTATGCCCCACGGCAACGGCCGGAAGCTTTTAGAGCGATCAGTGGCCGTTTCTAGGGTCCCGTAGACAAGAAATTTGAGTAGTGAGACTTCATTTATCAGATCGGGTCACCTTTGTAAAGGCCCAAGAGCGCTACACGTGACGCAGCACAGTGTATAGCATCGTTGGAACCAACAGCGTCGCAGCGGAATTTCTCACCACAATGAAGCAATTGCTCAAGTAGACCAGGCAAATTTTTGTCGTAACAACCTTTTCAAAGCAAGCCCCAGTTTTGGAGAACATTTTTAAAATCACTGGTGCATGCTCATCACCAGAATGGAATAATCGCGCATAGCATGTAGGAAACAGGAGGCTGAGTATTCAAGAAGAAATCGGTTATATCGAGTAACGTTTGTGAGGAACAACTGTAAAATACAAAATAGACTGCTGGGAATTTTGTGTTGACTACTTTGTGCGACTCACCTCAAAACCCGGAGTCTGTGGATGCAATGGCTTCTTCTGAAGACCTGATCCGGAAACTGATTACGCAGACCCATGTGAACGTTTCATGACGGTAATTATCAGGAAGCTGGCAATTATATTGGTGCAACGGTGGACACTACTGATGAGACTTGTGAGTAGTACGTTTTCTGGTAAATCCGCTTTGTGTCTCTTCAAAAGTGAGATCTATTACGGAATTTGTGAAGTCGATTTGCAGCATTTGCTTGCATTTGAGTAGCAGTCGATAAATATCCAGAAAGTTCAGGAAGAATCGTTCAAGGAGAAGATGGATATTCAGTTTTGTAAACAAGTTGTATATGAGAGTTTTGCTCCCTTGTCCAATAGTCGGTAACTGCCCAGTTGGTGTTTCTCTAATAAACAACTCTGTAGCAAAGGCCTTATTCGTTTCGCCGGTACTATCTGCTTGACGTTCATTTTTTCTCTGCATAAAACTAGCGCCATCAACTTTGAACGATGCGATAATGAGTCAGTGAGGGCACGGCAAAAACACTCTATTCTGGTTAGGTGCACAGTCGTGATGACAGTTGGATACATTCACGAATGACACCAGCATGTTGGTGTAAAACAATGATGTCAACATTTTCTCATGTTGAACTATGCCATGCTTTAAGATGGCATTCCTTCAGTTCAACATCTCGGCTCCCTTGTGTAGTCACAATTGGAACCATGCACATTACTTGTAAGCCTGCAGGCAGTTCTTGGGCAAGTGTCGACTTCGAGCGGAAGCAAAACAATTTATTTTAACCTCGTTTGGCCAATCTTTAAGAATTTTGAAACAGTAAACATTGATTTTTTTACTGCCAAAAAGTGGCCATATAAATCGGTCTCATTTACCTGCCGGTTAACCTACCTGCTTGTGGGCGCACAGCCACTACATCTTCAGAATGGCTGCCAAGCTGTTTTCGACAGCTAGCTCCCGACGGATCTGCGCTAATGTCCTTTCCTTGCAAACATGCCTGCCGTTTCAGTTCACATTCGCTTCGATACAGTAGTCCATCCGTACCACATACCTCAGCATCCAGTAGCGACGAAGTTGTTGGACACGCATCTCGACAAACACACTGACCGTTCCGACACTGGTATCCCAGTGGGCAACCGCTGGGGCAAGTTTCTACAGTAGATTGGAAAGAAGCGCTGTTTGATGGAGGATAGCGAAAAATGGCATCAAATTTTGTTTGGAAGAACTATATTCCCGCAGGAAATTGGGACAACTAGCCAACCAATTGCATAACCAAAAAATGTGAGGAGTTAAAGAACAATAATGCGCGAGGCACAGTTCAATGGAGCATTTCAGTACTACGGAGCGTTGGGCACCTGTCGTATTCATATGATCCAACTGTGACTCGGTCGTATCTCATTTGCTTTTATACCGGTCGCCACTACATGCGGTCGGCCTGCATTCGACAATGCTATCAGCTATTTATGCCAGACTCTACCGGAACAGGTAAGTAAGTCGGAGGATATAACGGGAAGATTTTTCATGCTGTTAGTAGTGTAAGGAAATTTTGAAATGTTTAATAAAGTTTTTATCATTTAACTGAAAACCCGAGAAGCACTCCAAAGCTGTTTCAACGTTACTGAGACTCATTTGCGGTGTGCATCTGAAAAGTCATCACTCGAGGAGGCAGTCAATAGGCGATCACGTGATGTGGTTTCCGTCACCAAGTCCTGTCAATGTGAGAGCTAATCATACTACTGATCAGCCGCTCATGTTCAAACGTCCAAGTGTTCAGCCTACCAGCTGCAAGTTTGTGGGTTCGAGACTCCCCGGGAGTTTCACTGTACACTGCTTAATAGCTTTTCAGAATAGATGGACTTCACCTGCAGGAAAAAATCTCCATTAAAATATTACCATGTTATATCTGTTTGACGACCTTCCCCAGTCCACTAGCAATCTGCCATTGTTTCTTCTTCATTACACTCCGCACAGGAAATATCTGATTTGTTTACAATGGGCGACTTTATACGAGGGAAGAAGAACGCCAGAATACGATGAGCACACTGACAAGACACAACTGAGGCAGCAGTTGTCCATTCACCATCAAATCTAGTTGAATAAATACCATCTGAGAAAGGTGAATAGGCAAACTGCTGGCAACGGTAGCGTTGTCACGGTTGCCATGGCTTGGGATATTAATCAGAACTAATCAGTCATTACTTGGCAGCAGCAGAAACAGCGGCAGTTGGCGTTTGGAAGGTAAACAATTTGAAATTACGGTTGCTCAGTTCAAACCCCTGCCTAACACACCTTAGCAAATCAATACATTAAGTGATATTGTCGTTGTTTACCTTCCATATTACTATAAAGAACAATCCTCTTGTAGGGAATGGTAAAGAAAGGGAATGGCGGAGACTTGGTGCCATCAGCTTTATGGTCCTGTGGGGCAAGACAAAAAAAACCTGATGCCTACACATCGGATTAGCAACGAGATTGGCGTACCTGAGTACCGAATAAAGGTAAGACGCCGTCAGTGAGAAGTGCTCAACATTCTTTGCAAAACCTACCAGGCTTAAGCCGACAAACTAACGAAAGCTGAAGTTTGGCCAGTGAAGGAAAAAGTGTGTTGTATTACGCAGGGTTCCCAACCACGTGAAAAGAAGCTCACGCGGACCTCACAAAGAAGTTGCAAAGATCCCACAACCATCATTCCGATGATAGTTACCGTTTAGAATTGCCAAGATGTTACATTACCTACCGACAATCTTTTGTCAGTCGGATTTGGGATTGGAAAACATTATTATCTTCGGTAGTCTGTCGTTGAACATGCACGGTAGACTTCCTACAAACTCAAATTGATGAGTTTTACATTCTGCTATAGATATACTGATTCATTACCAAATACTCACCTAAAAATAATCTATAGTGATCAATCAGTTGTAACAGCCTTTTCGTGCCTAGCTGCCATGCCACCCGATGGAAGCACGAAGGCTAGGATACTGTCAGGTCACCCAAGCCTAGACAGGGGAAGTCGAGGGGTAGAGGTGGGGTTCGAACCGAACCACGGATGACCATCTCGCCCACAGCACTTACTTACATATCAATTTACTTGGAAGACATCTTTCTAGCCAATGCCTTTTGAGTTTCTTTACAGTCCTTGGATGGAAGCATAGACTAAGAGTTCTCGAATATTTCTTTGTACACACCGTCATTCGGCCTTCTTGAAATGTGTTGTTTACACCACAAATGAGGCAAGTAAGCAGATGTTGTTCTCAACTCAAAATGTGCGCTTGCATCGATTTTATCTGTGATGGTAGGCTAACGGTTTATACGACTGTCCAGATGGGCCAAGAGGCCAACCCTTCCCTGGAGTTTCAGAGAAATGCAGAGAATTAGAATCCAGAAGCAGTACTTGTCACGTTGAAAGCTCAAAACGGTCATTTTGGAAATGCAAAATGGTCCACACCGGCAGTAAAAAGGTGTACTCTATGATTGTCCGTTCAGAACCTCACCCACTCATACAGTCCATCTTCATATCCGGATCAACTTCGACCCTTGGACACTCATTTTGGAAATGCAAAATGGTCCACACAGGCAGTAAAAAGGTGTACTCTATTATTGACCGTTCAGAACCTCACCCATTCATACAGTCCATCCTCATATCCGGATCAACTTCGACCCTTGGATCAAACTATTTTTGAATTTTGGAGGAACTGCCTCAAACTATCTGGAGTCTGTCTGTCACAAGTGGAAAATTCACATGATATATCGCAGCCTCTGTCCTTAACGGCCATCATTCTCTAACTATTCATTTTGAGATTCTGGCCAACATAATTCAAAATTTTCTTGAATTGCAGTAAATTCGATGACGTCATCATACTTTTAGTTCAACTCAATGTCACTCAGTTAATTGTGGAGTCCGAATATCACATTCTGATTCGCTGAATCTCGATCCTTTGTTCCCCTAAATTTTTTTGTCTATCCTCTCTGTATATCGAGAGTTTAAATTTAGCTGTCGGTTTATCCGGGCGAAGATAAACCCAATGGGAGGAGTTGATGCATGAAAGAGATCATCCGTTGGTAGTACACTTTAGTCGCTACACAACGAATGACAGTTGTCCCAATTAACGTAATCGGTGCTTCCATCGAGCTAGTGAAAATGCACGGAGTGAGAAGCACTCCGATATCCCTCGAATATCAGCCAGGCAAGAATTCACAGTTCGATAGAGGAGTTGAACGCAATCAAGTTAATTGCCTTGGCGAGTTCTAACTGCGTTTAGGAACTAAACAGCCTAGAATGCCATTATGCCGAAGCAATTTTAAACATTTGTCACATTTGGTGACGAAAGGGTGGGGTGAGTTTCTGGGGTATGAATCGTAATGAGTCCTTTGGCCTGATTACTGACCATTTCTGCCGAATCGCAACCGTACCATACCGAGAAACATAGCACCTTCAGTAAAGTTAAAAAGGAACGGAATAATTAGGACACAACTCTGAAGAATTGAAAAAAATCAATAACAAGACAACTGTAATAATAAAAGTCACACAGCTGAGCATCGCATGAAACATCAGAAGCGAGAGATACAGATGGGTTCCAGGTGACTCTCTCAAAAAACCAAATTAGTTTGCGAATGAGTGTATATTCGCTAGGATCGTGCAATTTGGTTTCACGTAGATCATAAGGTTGACGGAAACTGGGGGACTGCGCCTACATGATGAGCCCCAAGAAGGGTGAAACCGATCATGGGCTGTCGACGAATTTTCAGCAACCATATGAATAGGGCATTACGAATAGTCTTTCTTATGTTCTGTCTGGTTCAGAACCATTTTGTGGGAACACAAACAATTGATGAGTAACCACGACAGCTGCATCAAACAGCCGAAGGCTGTTCAGCATCATCGCTGTCGCCCTCACTGTGTAGCTCTCAATCCCTGACACACTGGGCAAACAAAGCCATTCGGAATCAACTGACTGCTCGCGCCACCGAATACAACACCCTCACTCCCTTATTCTCCTTATCCTCAACAAACAAAGCTCCGGCAGCTGGAATCACCGCATTTCAATTCACGGTTCGTGACTCAAAAACGAACTGAACTCCAAATAATTTCCCAAACCTGATCAACAAAGAATGAAGCTAGGGATTCCTCAGGAAATTCGTTTTCCTCTAATCGACATAGTTTTTGTTGGATTTTTCACTGGATCGCTCATCACGGTTTTAAATTGGATGCATTGGCATTGATCGTCTTCATCATGGGAGTATCGGCAGATTTGGGTATGCATATTAGGACGTTCCAAAGTAGCTGGTGGAGAAGCTTTTTTCGTTGGAGGTTATCCAAGCAGTGAACACTGCATGCCAATCTTACGATTGAGAATCTAAAATCCTTCGAAATGTTTTGGAGAATGGTGCCGCGGTATCCACTGTCGTATCAACAAACGTGCCTTCTTCCCTACCCAACCCGTCGTTTTATTTCGCGTAGTTGTTTCCTAATTAACTTTGACTGAATATGCATGTTTGTGAAGAAACTCTTTGTATCAGACTCAATGTGGGACGTATGGAATGGCTCGGTTTGTTCAGGCGGATTTGTGCAGTCTCCGTCACACTATGCAAAAAATAGTCAGAGACCACGGAGAACAAACCTGGAAAATGTCAACACTTAGTCTCCACGATGCCGCCTGTACCTGGTGTTCCAACAAGAGAATATACTGCGATTTCTCGAACACAGCATCAACTGAAACATGAAGCATATCTTTTATACCAAATGCTCGAGGCTTCCTGGCTTCTTAGGTTCCGATACCCTGCTCATAGACAAAGCAAGCATAGTTCTTCGTATGTCCGTTGACCAAACAATTTTTGGGCAGTTTCTGCCTCACTAATTTACCAGAAACAAATTGAAACACGCCTTGCAAGTACCAGACTGTGAGTCACGTGACCTTCAACCGTTTAAAACCGCCCGTCATGCTTCATTGTACCCAGAATTCGGGCCCTCTCCAAGCAGCTTGTTTTTATGGAAAAACTGCATACCGTAAACATTAGAGTCCAAAATTGCTCGGGAAACTCTCATTATAAATGTACTACACTCATATCAGAGGTCATTTCTGAATTGAAGAAGCAATCCTGCTCGGTTGCAGCAGAGTTTCAGCGCTTTGTAATCATTGGGTTAGAACTGTAAA